CAACAGAAAGAGTTAGCAGCCCCAGGCGAGTGAAGAGCAGTCGTGCACTGCTGCAGTGTGCAATTGTCATTCCTCTCTAGTGAAGAGCACTTGCCCTCTGATAAATATACTTTTGAGTGTTTGGCGCTTAGAACCCACACAGGTCTAGGAGATTTGGGGCTTTTTCAACCCTTCATTAGTTACCACTTATAGTGGGAGGCTTAATAACTACCAGTTTCCAAAGTGATTGCAAGTGGAATCAAATATAAAATGTTTTTTGCGTTAATTAAGCTTTCTTTTCAGGCAGAGGTGAGTGCAGACCTTACTATTTAAACATTCTCCTTTCCCCTCTGGAAAAAGAAACAGCAAAAGCCTTTCAGTCAGTCTACAACATTTCTAGTACTTAAACATTCAAAGATAATGCCCCAGAATTTATTTCTTTGTAAACAATCGGTTGAGGAGTGTCAGATGGTCTTACATATAGGTGGGGGCAAACTGAAGCCTGCAAGAGGGGCACAGCAAAGCTGCAAAGCACTGACTTAATTTCAGCTCTGCAACTCCTAGATTTCTTCATATCCTGATCCATAGTTTTAATATTGAGCTGTTACCTTATTCTCAAGGTTTACTCCACACACCTCTGTTTACCCAGCAGCAAGTAGGAACCCGGTTGTCAGTCAGTCAGCGGATCGCTTTTCAGGAGGTAATAATTCCTTCAAAAAAAATAACAACAAATTGGTCACTCAATCCACGACTATTCATGGGACACTGCTTACGTAATTGACTGCTGTGTTTCTCCCATAAAATCAACTCCAGTTCCACCAATGTTCTGTCCACTTGCTTGTCAGACATCAAGACCTGGATGAGCACCAACATCCTCTACAGAATGTTGGCAAGACATTCAGTGAGGTTGCAGTTTCAATGAGTCTGAGGGATAAGCCGGGAGGTTAAGGAGGTTCCTGTACCTCTTGACCATTTTCTTGTACTTCTGCCGAAATCCTAAAATGGCTCTCAATCCAAAGTTGACTTTGGTGTTGTACCTGTTTTGTACTATTTGCTTGTATTGGTGTTAAACTTTCAGTCTTACTCCAACAACAACATATAATGCCCTTCAGCGTCCCAAAGTGTTTGACAGTGATCGAGTCTGATACTGAGACAGGGGGAGAGAGAGGGGGAAGGTGACCACAATCAAAAAGGATGGTCTTTAGGCAGGATTTGAAAATGTGGAGTCCGATGCCGAGCCAGGGGGAGGGAAAGGTGACCATAGGCATGGTCGAAGAGGCACAACCTCAAGGTGATGGGGTTGAGGGAGGGAGTTCCATAGCTTCAGGGAGTCGTGCTGAAGACACGGCCACTGATGGTAAAGCGGAGGATTCGAGGGAAAAGGAGGAGGCCGGAGCCAGTAGAACAGAGGCAGTGAGTACTGTTGTGGGAGAGAGGATGTTGGAGAGATTGGGGGGTGTCAAAGCGTGGAGGGATTTAAACACTAGAGTGAGGATCTTGAAGTTGATCCTCTCTGTGACAGGGAGCCAGTGGAGTTTGGCAAGGACTGGAGTAATCGGGTTACGGAGTTTAGTTCAGGTGGCAGAATTTTGGATGAGTTAAATTTTGTGAATAGTGGAGGAGGGGAGACTGGCAAGGAGGGCGTTAAGAGTAGTCCAGCCGAGAGGTGACAAAGGAGTGGACAAAGTTTTTCGGCAGCTTGTGGAGTGAGGTGTTGTCGGAGACAGGCAATGTGGTGGAAGTGAAGGAAAGTGGTCCTGGTCAGCGACCAGATGTGGGGGAGGACGGATAATTGGGGATCGAACCTGACCCCTAAGTTGCTCACAAGTTCAGAGAATTGAAGGAGAGCCCGGGGAGTTTGAGGAGTTCAGACCCGCAGGAGAGAAGGCGTTGATGGGAGCCAAAGAGTATGGTTTCCGTCTTGCCGATATTCAGCTGCAGGAAATTTGCGCTCATTCAGGCCTTGTCTGCCAAACAAGCTGAGAAGGCATTCAAAATACAAATGGAAAATCAGTGTGAAATAGTTCTTTTCCTTGCTCCTCCCGCTCAATTGAGTCTTACTCATAAATCACAGCAATGATCAATTAAATACAACAACAAAATGACATTTATAGAGCTCCTTTCACATCGGGAGGACGTCCCAAGGCGCTGGACAGTCAGGTCAGGACCCGAACATGGGGGAAGGCAGAGAGGTGGGAGGTAGACCAAAGGCACGATCAAAAAGGAGGATCTTGAGACCGGCCTTGAAGGAGGCAAGGGAGGAAGCGAGGCGAAGGGACTGTGGGATGGAGTTCCAGAGAGGCTGAAAGCCTGGCCGCTGATGGTAGGGCGGGTCGGGTGGGAGACGTGGAGCAGAACGGAGGGAGCAGACAGGTTGGTAGGGGGTAAGAGAGGTAGGAGGGGGAAAGTCCATGGATGGCCTTGAAAGTGAGGACGAGGATCTTAAACTCGATCTTCTGGGGGAGGGGGAGCCAGTGGAGTCGGGCAAGGGTGGGAGTGATGGGGTCACGGAGCCTGTTGCACAAGAGTACACGAGCATTAGTGAGAAGTTTTGTCAATAAGCTATTCATCAAACTCGATCCAACTTTTTATATGCTCTTGTGTTTAGTATACAGTTATATTTAGTATGTAGTTATATAGTTCAGTTCATTGCTGCAATTTTTACTTGGATGCAGTTATATGTTTGAGAATACTGATAAATTGTGCTTTAGTGGATTAACTGTTTTATCCACAAAGTGCCAGTTTATATTTCCTAACGCCGTTTAGATGAAAAAAATGAACAATATTCACAAAGGAGAATCTACATAAGGGTGGTTGGATGTGTTGTCAAATATGCACTTAGCTAACTGGTACTCTACTCTTCTGGTTGTAGATTTAAAGGGTGAGATACCTTTATTATTCTACATAATACACAAACAACTTTGAAGCTGTGGGATGAATGGAAGAATATTACCTTTTAATTATAAATGCTGTTTGTTTATGACAGATAATCTTCCTCATTTGCAAATGCCACATAGCAAAGTTCCCTTTGCTAAAGGATTAATCTTAAAAACAGAACCTAGACTTTTAGAACTGAGGTTGGGAAGCATGTCTTCACCCAGAGGATTTTGAAGACGTGGAACCCTGCCCAGCCCAGAGGTGGCATAGATAGAGAAGAGGGATGTTTAAAAGAGAGACAGATACTTGAGCAGTAAAAGTATTAACAACAACAGCTTGCATTTATACAGCGCCCTTCACGCCGGACAGCGTCTCGGACCGCTTAAAGGACGGTGAAATGAGGAGAATGCTCATTAAAAGGAATGGGATAAAAAGGATCTGCCAAGATCACAACATCACAAAATTAGTTTGGATAAAGAAGGCCCAAGTGGTCTCATCCTTCCAGAATACCCACCTTACTGTCCTCCCGTCACAGAATCCCGTAATTTTTTTAAAATGAGTCCAGTAACTGGGCTTTAATCACCCTTCCAGCAAACCTGTTCCAGTCGTTAATTACGCTCTAGGTAAAGGTTATTGTTATCTGTCCTGAAATTGGCTGTTGCAACTCAATAAACTGATCTGGGATTACACCTGATAACCATTTTATGTATTTCTGTAAGGTATCGCCCCAAGATACAATACAAAATTACACTTGTACAGCACCTTTCACATCGGGAGGACTTCCCAAGCGCTGAACATTCGGGGAGCAGGGTGGGGGGGAAGTTGTAAAGACAGAGAGGATAGGAGGGTGACCAAAGGCACGGTCAAACAGGAGGGGCCAGAGGGTGGGGCCAGAGAGCCTGAAGGCCCGACCGACAATTGTGGGGTGGACTGGGCGAGGAACATGGAGCAGGCCCGAGTCTGCTGAGTGGAGGGAGTGGACAGGTTGATAAGGGGTTAGCAGGTCAGAGAGGTAGGAGGGGGCAAAGCTGTGGAGGACCTTGAAGGTGAGGATGAGGATTTTGAACTCGATCCTCTGAGGGATGGGGAGCCAGTGGAGCCAGGAGAGGGTGGGTATGATGGGGTTTCTGGAGCCTGGTGCGGGAGAGAACAGGAACTGCAGAGTTCTGGATGATCTGCTGCTTGTGGAGAGACAAGTTGGGGAGACCGCAAGGAGAAGGTTGGTCTTCTCTTAAGGAAACTATTGACTGGCTGCTTTTCCTGTTTCCCTTTGTTCCCTCAAACCTTATTATTTCTTTCTGTTTGTGGTCTGGCTTGGAGGCATGCTGCAGTGTGCTACAGTGAGGTTTTGCAATAGTCTTAATTGTTTCGGTAATGTTAAGTCTAAACTATTGATGGGCAAACAGCTGAAGGCGTGTGTAAGATCCAGGCTATGAAACAACACACTGCGGACGGATCAGCTGCTACCCACATCTCTTAAAAGGACAAAAGCCCCTGACTATTTTCAACCATAAAATGACAACAGTTTCTATTGTGCTTGATTAACTTCTTTCAAAGACTGCCAGTGGTGGGCTACCATATGGTGAGCTCCGGGATAATATTACAGCTCCTGTATTAATATTCATGCAATGAATATTGTATTTTATACAATGCCTGGTCACATTGTCAAAATATCTCAAAACACTTCACAGGATTCTTTTTACGCACTGAATTGTGCTGACTGTATTTTGTAGATGAACACAGCAGCCAATGGACACACACCAAGCAATGTCCCTAAATGACCAATTTTATAGGGAGGATTGTTGGCAGATCTCCAAGAGAAACTTCCTGTGTGGAGAGCAACGTGATGTCAGCAGTGACCTGTGACCTGGAAGTCGGCCATTTTCTCGGGCTTTGTTTGGTGTTGGCCACAGAGGACCATTTTTTAATGAGGTTCCCCTGTAACTGGCAGTGCGTGTGCAGGTCAGCACCTGCTCATTTGAGGTTCACAGGCAATGAGAAAGAAGAAAGATCTGTCTCTTGAATATCTAGGCAGAATACAGTCACTCCTGGTCCTCAAAACTGCACGTGAGGCTGCTCAAGAAATTCCCAATCTGATTTTTTTTTAATGTTAATATTTTTTGTGTTGTTTTGTAATTTTACAGACTCCGAAGGCTTGTGAAAACTTCATTAAATTGTGCAAAAAGGAATATTACAATGGAACAATCTTCCACAGATCGATTCGAAACTTCATGGTGGGTTGACATAGTCTAGTTTGACGCAAAACTTAAGTCAGTTGTATTGTGGTATGTGTTTAAGATGCCTTTCCCCTCCCATCTCTAGAGCTACCCACTCAGTCTCATACCCCCTGCTCTTTCCCCATATTCTTGCAAATTTTTCTTTTTCAAAGTTGTTGTTGAATCTGTTTCCACCATCCTTTCAAAAATGTCTCCTCATCTCCCCTCTGGTTCTTTTGCCAATTATCTTAAATCTATGTCCCCTGGTTACTGACCCACCTGACAGTGGAAACAGTTTCTCCCTATCTAGTCTATCAAACCACTCATAATTTTGAACACCGTGTTCAGAGTATTAAAACTGACATAGCACCCAAGAGTCTAAACCTGGCTATGTTTGTGTTTAAGTTGCAGGTTTTGTCTGATTGAATTAGAGAGGTTTTTTTTTTGGTGTTTACCCTTTCTTTTTAAATCTTGTTGACCTTGGCATGCACATTGCATTTTCAGCATCCAATTTCTATTGAGGGACATTTATACAATTGTATTTTGGTTAAACAAAATTGGCCTACATTGTTTTCTCTTCTCCCAAGAGAACTGTTTTAAAAATGATTTTGTTCTTAATTATTTGCCAGTATTTCTCCCCTCCATTTCTCCAGAAATTGTTTTGACAAACGTTTCTGTTTATTGCGGTCTGGCATTACAGCCAAACTCAATCCTGCCTTTACTCAACATCCATAACGCATGCACCTACCAACAAAGCTCTCAGAACAGCCATTGAGAACTGCATCAAATAATTTTGAATCCCTTGACTAAAACCTGAGATGTGTACTGTCTTGCTTAAATGAGCCTTTTGAAATTTGTTTAGTTCATAGGGGTTTTATTGCTACATTTTGCACAGTGTTCTAATTAAATCTCCCCGCAAATTGGTTTGCATATTAAAGTTTAAAAGCCAAAATTCACAAATAGTGCCTTTGGGCCTGTTAATGTTGTTTTATTTGGGCTTCATTGTGATGGGTTTCTACTCTCAATTGCAAATTTTTGATGATGTCTTTGATTGACCCAGACCATTACTTTTACCATTGTGGAATCGTACTGTTACTGAACAAGTTTGTGTCCTGGTCCTCAACACCCACCCTGCCCAATAAGCATGTGCTTTTAATTATCCTTCATGTAAAGAAATGCATTCTGAAGTTTGTCCTACGATTTCCCCTTCATAACCTTGATTATTTGTCCTCCTCTTTCTGCTGCCTTCAGGTATCTGAAAGTATTGTTCTGGAAGCAGACATGTAGATAATTGGCATCTGAATAGCTGCATTCTGCTGAGATTTGACAATATAGCCGAACATCCTGTTTGTCTTGTTTACTGCTGTTACACAGCTTCGACACAGTTTTTGATTGGTTTCACTTTGACTCACTTTTCTACATTCTCTCATCTCCTCGTTTTCTGACTCACTCTTTTAAATCGACTCTGATTCCGCAAATTATCTGTGTGAATTTGAAATAGTATTAAATATCAATTAAAAGTAGAGAGAGCTACAAATGGAAAGCCCAGTGTGCGTCACTTGTTGATGTGAAGTTTGTTGATGTAAATACCAATTGAGAAATGATGTTTAGGATGCAAGGGCCTAGACGGGTTGAACATGGAGAGTCAGTCAGAACCAAAATGTATTGTAATTTCATAAATACAGAGGTGGCCTGAAAGCACACAAGATCACAAGAGAGTGCTTGGATAAAGAACTTTGATGTACAGTTTTTGAAGAAGTCTCGCATGTGATATTTTGTCAAATGCCTTATGGATTAAGTAGAGCATTTTTTAGTGATGGATTTGAAAGCAGCGAGATAGGATGTGAGATAGAGAGTTAGGGAAGGAGTTCAAAAGGGAACGGGTATAGTAGTTGAAAACTTCGCTACTGATGGTGGGGCGGAGGAGTTGGCAGAGCAGAGGAGTAGAGTTTGATTGCAGAAGGCAAATGGCTCCAACGGGAGCGAAGTTTCAAATGACGGAAAGAACCGAAAGTGCGTACATTTAGTCGTGCAAATTGAGCTTTGCTTCCATTCCATGGTTTCTGACCTGTTAAGTGGTTGATGTAGCACTGAATCAAAAAGTGTTCCATTCCTCACCACCAATGCTCTGCACAAATTCATCTCTTTTTAAATCTTTCCCACTTGGTGTGAATCCCAAACTGAGCAGAGTAATTGGCTGCCTAATAAAAATGTACTTAGGTGAGGTTTTTTTTTACTGCATGTTCTTGTTATTTGAAACAATATATTTTAGACTTAATCATTTAAAGAGACTTTTCTTGTTCCAGATTCAAGGAGGAGACCCCACTGGTACTGGCACTGGTAAGCTATGATTAGGAATGTTATTTTGCCAAGGTATTTTGGTGTAAAATCATGAATAGTCATAATTACAAGATAAATTGTCATAGACATAATAGTAAAAAAAATAAAAACATCACAACACTTTGGTATGACCAAATGGTCTGTTTTTATTTTGCTATAATTCTTATATATTCCAAATGTAGTAACACATGGTCAATATTTTTTCCTCTTTTTTCTATTTCTCCTCTCCCCATTACTTATTATTTTCCTCCTGAACAGCCTGTGAATGTTACATATGCTCTGTGTGGTGCAGTGTGTGTGGGGGTGGGAGTAGGGGGATGTAATCTCACCCGGAGACTGAATGAAAACACTAATGGAGACAAACTAGTTGAGAGATGGTTGAGACAGAGTGATAGTTACACTGGTTGAAGCAAATAAGAAGAACTTGATTAGTGAAATTTATGGAAAAACAAATCTTTTTGAATCTGTTTTGGAGGGAGGGGTCAAGCGTGTTTGTGGAAAGCCTTGATGGTGAAGAAAACAGAGTTGTTATTTGGAAAAGTAAATAGTAAAAAGTAAATAGTGCTGTCCCAAAGGGTCTGTGTTAGAAGACCACTTCTTTTCTCCATTTGCATAAATGATCTGGATTCTGGTATAAGGGGCACAAATTCTAAATCTGCAAATGACTCAAAACGAGAGAGAGAGAGACAGACAGGTAATAGTAAAGAAGATAATAAGCATTCTCAAGGGGTTTATCCCATGGGCAAAAAATGAAGGAACTGGAACTTTTTTTCACTGGAATTAAGAAGATTAAGGGGTGAGCTGATAGAGGTCTTTTAAGTGATTAGAGGGTATCAATGTAAGGTAACAATCAAATGAGCAAATAGCGAGATGAGGAGAATTATTTTCATGCACAGTTGTTGGGATATGGAATGTCCTGCTGGGAGTGGTGGTTGAGGCAGAATCTATTTACGCTTTCAAAAGAGAATTAGATAGATACCTAAAAAGGAATAAGCGACAGGAGTATGTGAAAAGGGCCGGTAAATGGGACTAAAAGGTTGGTGCTTATAAGACCTAGCACAGACATGATGTGGCTGGGATGTCTGGGTGAGAGTTTTGCTGGTGATGGTTCGACTGCAGTGTGAAGCTGATACTATCAAAAATAATTACAGCACAAACTGGTGCATGAGGTACGGCAGATCTCATGGTGTTAGTCTTTATTTCCATCTCTGGAACCATAAAACATGATTATGGGCACAATGTTCACATGTAGTGCATTAATGTTTGTATTGAATAGGAGTGATTTAACAGCTATTTATTGTACTGACCATATCCTTTTCTGTGGCATAGCACTAACCTGTACACATTATGCACTTGTTTCAAAATAAATAAATGAAAGTTTACAATTTTGTGTTTTTAAAAGAAGGCAACAGATATTCTGAGTTTAAATCTATGGACATGTCTAAACGATGGCAGTGTCGAGTACAATCGACAACATGTCCAGTGTTTATTGGAGCAGCTTATTTTATTAATTTTTTAAACAAATTTGGAAGTTAACTTGTTCAGAAAGTCGGCTTTCATTCAGGACTGCTTATTTGAGCCCTCTATGTCACTGGATGATTGATAATAAAATATAATAATAATCCTTGCATTTAAGAGAGCGCCTTATCATGTCTTCGAGACATCCTAAAGCGTTTCATAGAATGTACTGTAAATTGAATTGACGTTTTTTTGTGGGCGAAATGAAATAAAACAAAATAGTATGTATATGATACAGGAATGAACTACCACCAGAAGGATATCATCATGTTATAAGCTTATGGTTTAATTAAAATCTTGGTGGTGGGAGTAGAGCGTTGACAGTGTAATTGTGGTTCACCAGTACACTATTCTAATGACCACTTTGCCTCCTGTAATATAGCATCAGAAGTTACTGTTGAACTTATGGCATTCTGAGAATTATTATCTATATTTGGTTTCATCATTGCTCTGTGAAAATGTGCAATTACATCAAATGGACAAAAATGAACCTAGCTTTGCAAATTGCGCTTAATACTGAAGTTGGAATCTAATGTTCTCCAGCCTTTAATAAGTTTGTCATATATCATGACATTGTGTACACTTGATGTCATTCAATAACTCATGTTGTGTGCACAATCATTTGCATTGAAGATATATTGGACTAGGTATTAATCCTGATTGATTGTTCTGAGGTTTCCAGAGTTTTTGCTCGTATGAGAGAGTTGATGGAGCTCAAACTGTTGCAGTAGAGATAAAGCAGGACTCCTGCCTCCCATATGCTGATTCCTTAAACCAGGCTTCAGGTTTCAAGGACACAAGAGATTCTGTTTGTTGTTAGGTTCTGGAAACCAGCCATCGACAGAAGCAAATTGCTACAACTATTGCACCCTGCGCAGTCCATAAACCTCAAATACTTCGTTATCCTCAGTACAAAGGTGAAATCCTCCGCACACACATTTTCAGACAGTGCTCACATACATGGGAAATTCTATTGCAAGAAGCCCAGCCAGTAACTGAATAGCATCTGTACACCCAATGTTTATTCAGGGCATTCGTTGACATCCAAATGATTGGCATCATCCTGTACTACACCAGGTTCCTGTTAACTCAACAAAGTCATGTAAATTCTTGTTCATAATTCAGGCAACAGAGTCAATAGTTTCTTCTCTCACATCTCTGTGCATGGGCCGTGCCTGTTCGATTCTTCTCAGGTTTGCAGCTTTATTAACAAATCAAGCAGGTCTTTCAGTGTATTAATTGAGTATGATCTGGCAGCAAGAGAAGGCCATTCTGTGTAACAGTGAGTCTTGTCAGCATCCTGTTGCTTGAAATGAGCCTTTGGATAGTGTTAAGTCCTCACATCAAAATAAACTGTTTTACAGTTGCCTTTGCCGACCCTGAAACTGCAGGAATGTGGAATAGCATGGCTTTAAATCACTACTGGTATAATTTTCTACAAAAGCCTCTTCTCAGGTATCCTCTGTCCACACTCACTGACTGCAGTGATAAAGGGAGATTGTCAGCCTCGCAACAGCTGCTCTTGAACACTTTGGCTCACTTTTCACTGTGATAATTGAACTGAACCTAGCTTCCTTGTAGTCTGCAAATCATCCTTCTACATACATCTGTCTGACATTCGAGTGAGTTTTCTGCTTCAGCATTGTCTTGATTTTAGCCTCATATGATCCAATCCCGATAAAACCTTTGAACATTCCTGCAGTTTCAGGGTCGGCAAAGGCAACTGTAAAACAGTTTATTTTGATGTGGATATTTATACTTGTAAGAATTGTACGTTAGTGCTCCTAAGATGTGGAGTCGTTTGAAACGGGAATGCAAATTTATATTTCCTGATCCAAAATCACATTGGCTGAGGAAACCCCTTGCTTCATGTACATTAAAGTGCTCACACACAGGGCCACCCTCAAACCTGATACTGCTACTAATAATAATCCTTGCATTTGATATAGCGCCTTATCAAATCGTCAAGAGAACTCAAAGCGTTTCTCAGAATATACCGTAAAAGTGAATTGACTACTTCTTGGATGTGGGTTTAAATGCAGCCCAAAAAGGCAAGGGAAGCATCTTTATCGCTTGAAGAATAGTTAAATTACTTTTGTTTATTGTTCAGCCATTTCCCAGTTAACATGAGTCCATGGCATAGAACAGGTCTGCAGAAATCTGAAATGTTATTGTGGTGACTTCATTCTGCCCCAAATGGCCTTTAAAGGTACTATCATGCCATCTCCCGATAATTTGTGCTGCAAGTGCTCTCTTAAGAAAAATTCTATTTTATTACAAAAATTTAGTGAGTTATTGTCACCTTCACAAGCAGAACCGAATGTGACGTCCTTTCCCGGGTGGTGTTATTTTTGTGGGCTTTTGGCAACAAAATGGCATTTTAAATATTTTCATTGTGGGAGCCGAGAAGATCATTTTTTTTCTTGGATGAGTGACATTCCGCAGAATTGTGTTTACTGACTTGAGAAGTCAGCGCTACATCAATGTGGGAGGGGAGGGTGCAGTCACTGAAAAAGAGAAGCAAAGAGGAAGCAGTAAAGGTCTAGAACGCCTGAGGGAATCTGATCTGGTGCTCATATCTTCAGCTCCTCTCCGCCCCCCCTCCAGAAGCACTGATAATTTCAACAGACAACAACATAATAATAATCCTTGCATTTGATATAGTGTCTTTTCACATCTTCGAGACGTCACAAAGCGCTTCACAGAATATACTGTATATTTTGTGGGTGGAATGCAGCAACGAATTGCGCACAGCAGGGTCCCACAAACAGTCATGGATTGAGTGACCAAATTATTATCATCTTTACCGTCATGTAGGGTAGAATCCCAGAGCGCTGGACTTTAGACAACTAACACAACTTGGACGTTGACTGTACCAAATAACTGCCCTCACGTGAGGTATATAAATCTCTGGCCTGCACGTGTGCACTGCAATCTCATTTATTGTGTGAACAAGATCACAAAGACCAGTCTTTCATCTCTTTTCTGATATCAACTGTATTTTCTCACTGTCTCTGAGGTAATGTGTTGAGATAGTGGTTTGAAGAAAAACTTTTTTAAGTTTTTGATATTAGTTTAATTGTTCAGTCTGTTCTCTAGGTGTTTGTGTCCCTTTATCGCCAGCATTTACCCAGTTTTTTTGTTGGGGGGGCTGTGGGTGGGTGGCTGGCTCTATTGGAGGTTTGTTAGTAATTTGGACACACACAGGGTCAGATTGGCCAGACCCTGTTGTGGGCTTTTCAAACGTTTGGCGGCTATTATGTCCACCTCCAGTTTCTGAATATGGAGATTATCTTAATCTCTGAAGTGGCAAAGAATGAAGTGGTGGAAGGCAACATTTGTCAATTCTTGACTTGAGTTTCACATTTCCGGCACAAACAAACCTGATCAGATGGCTTAGCACTCATCTGCTTGAAGCGGCTTTCTTCGTTCAGTCATAATAAAATCCAGTTCATCTCTGACTTGCCCTTGAGCGCCTTCTC